AGATAGGTTAAGCAGGTTAAGTTAGGTAAGATAGGTAAGGTAAGGTAACATAGGTAAAGTTAGGTTAGGTTAGGTAAGATAGGTAAAGTTAGGTTAAGTTAGGGAAGGTAAGGTAAGTTATGTTAGGATAGGTAACGTTAGGTTATGAAGGTTAAGTTAACTAAGTAACATTGGGTAGAGAGGATAGGTTACGTAGGTTTGAACAGTGTAGTTCAGAGAACAGTTTAAAAGGTAAAATGTCTAAGAAAATATATTTAACAGAAGTGTAAGTTTGATATGAAAAGCTGAACTAGTTGTATTTGGAGAGAAATTTTATGCCTGAAGATGTCTTAGAGAACAACTTTGGAGAACGAAGATGAATTAGAGATCGCTTTGATGACTCTGAGAATAACTCTGGTCAACGAATATGGATTGGAAAGTTTCTCTAATGAACGAAGGTGAGTTAAGATTAACTTTTATGATTTAGAGAACATCTTTGGTAGCTCTGAGAAAGACTTTGTTGTCTTAGAGAATAACTTTCAGGACTTAGAGAATGTCTTTGATGAATGGAAGTGAGTTAGAGAATAACATATCATGACTGAGAATAACTTTTGATAACTCTTAGAACAACTTTGATGTCTTAGAGAATAACTTTAGATGTCTCTGAGAATGTCTTTGGATAACTCTGAGATTAACTTTGATGTCTTTGAAACAACTTTGACGTCTCTTGGAATAACTTTTGTGGACATGAGAATATCTTTGGATAACTCTGAGATTAACTTTGATAGCTCTGGGAATAACTTTTATGATTTTGAGAACATCTTTGATGTCTTGGAGAACAACATTGATGTTTAGAGAACAACTTTGATGACCAAGATTAACTTTAGATGTCTCTGAGAATAACTTTATAACATAGAAATTAACTTTAGATGTCTCTGAAAATAACTTTGATGACTTCGAGAATAACATTTGATGACTCTGAGAACAAGTTTGATAGCTCTGAGAATAACTTTAGATGTCTCTGAAAATAACTTTGATGAAAGAAGATGTCTTAGATTAACTTTTGATGACTTTGAAAACAAGTTTGATGAACAAAGATGTTTTGAAAGTTTCTCTGACGAACGAAGGTGACTCTGAGAATAACTTTTATGTCTTAGAGAAGAACATTGATGGTTTAGAGAGAATATCTTTGATGAAAAATGATGTCTTAGATTAACTTTGATGACTCTGTGAATAAGTTTGATGACTTTGAGAACAAGTTTGATAGCTCTGAGAATGACTTTTATGCCTCTGAGAATAACTTTGATGAATAAGTTTGATGACTTTGAGAACAAGTTTGATAGCTCTGAGAATGACTTTTATGCCTCTGAGAATAACTTTGATGAATAAAGATGTTTTGGAAAGTTTCTCTGAAGAACGAAGGTGACTCTGAGAATAACTTTTGTTAGCTCTTTGAATAACTTTGATGTCTTTGAAACAACTTTGATGAACGAGAGTGAGTTAGAGATTACCTTTGTTAACTCTGAGATCAACTTTGATGAACAAAAGAGAGTTAGAGATTACATTTGATAACTCTAAGATTAACTTTAGATGTCTCTGAGACAAACTTTTATAACATAGAAATTAACTTTAATGACCAAAAGTGAGTTAGAGAATACCTTTTGATGACTCCGAGAATAATTTTGATAGCTCTGAGAATGACTTTTGTTGTCTTGGAATAACTTTTGATTGTTCTGAGAATAACTTTTGTTGTCTTGGAATAACTTTTGATTGTGCTGAGAATAACTTTGAGGGCTTAGAGAATGTCTTTGATGAATGGAAGAGTCCCATTGAAGTCTTAAGGAAGTCTTTGATGTCTCGAAGGATGTCTTAGAGTGTAACTTTGGTGTCTTTGAGTAAGTCCTTGATGTATTGAAGAGTGTCTTTGATTTCTCGAAGAGTAACTTTGGTGTAACGGAGAGCACCTTTGACTATTTTTCTTACGTAGCGACATATAATTTTAGTTACGAAAGTGTTGAAAAAGTTACATTTGACTATTTTAGTGCTCCACAAAGTATAAATGTCAGTTAAGAACGACGATGATAGATATCTTTGACTATATTTTCTTACTTGACGATGGATAAAGTTAGTTATGAACAGTGCTGAAAAGAATCCTTTGACAATTTTTAGCTAAGCGAAAGGCTGTTTTAGTTAAGAACGGTGTTGAATGAGGTTAATCCTGACTATTTTCAGATGAGAGAAGTGATATTTCAGTTAAGAAATGACAAGGAAACATGATGAAGTAACTATTTTTAGTTGACCGATGAATACTTTTAGTTGAGCAAAAGCTTAAACATGATGAACATGACTTTTTCTGATGATTGGCAGATAATTTTAGTTAAGAAATGACAATGAAACATGATGAACACGGTTATTTTCTGATGAATGGGGAATATGTTTAGTTAAGAAATGATGAAAGTTATTATTTTTAGTTGATTGACGATGGATAAAAGCTAGTTATGAACAGTTTTGGAAAGTTTCCTTTGACAATTTTTCTTGATGAAACATAGCGCCTGTTAAGAAAGTGCTGAAAAAGTTTCCTTTGACAATTTTTAGCTAAGAGAAAGGTTGTTTTAGTTAAGAACAGTGTTGAACGAGGCTATTTCTGACTATTTTTAGTTGACTGGATAATAGGTTTAGTTGAGAAATGACGAAAGTGACTATGTTTTAGTTGATTGGCGAAAGATTTTTTTAGTTAAGGAACGTTAAATAACATGTAAGGGGAAAACCCAGAGAACATATGGGGGAACATGGCAAAGAACACATGTAAGAAAAGTTGATGAATATAGTGAACATGCTGGGAATATGAACTTACAGAGAACATGAAAACATGATAAGGAGAATAGGGATTACAAAGAATGAACAATGGACTTGTGAAGAACATGGAGAATATGACAAAGAATGTAGAAAACATGTAAGTGAAGGTGAAAAAACGAAGTGATCTTGTGAGGAACATGAACTTGTAGAGGAACATGAATATTGACAAAGAACACAAAATATGGAAGTTAGCATGAATATTGAGTATAAAAGTTGTAAAGAGAACATGTGATGAATATGAAAACATAGAAAATATGACTAGAATTTGTAGAGAACATAATGAGACTAAGAGAAAGATTACATAAAAAATGGAGATACTTGTGAAAATATGAACTGAATGGGACTGTGAACATTTGAAGAACATGGAGTGAACACGGATGAGAATACGAAGAACACAGTGAATATAGAGAAAATATGCAAATACAGTACGATTATTGAAGGTTTGGATAAGTTGGGGATGAGAAGGTAAGGGAGGGAAAGGGTAAGAGTTAAGCTGGAGACGGACTTGATCGAAAATATTTATGTCTGATGATCTAAGGCTGAGGGAATGGAGCTTGGTTAATGCCCTGATTAATTTTACTACGTTAGAAAATAAGGTGATCTTAAATCTCATGTGATATAGTTGGAAATAAAGAACTTGTACAAAATGAACTAAGCTGGGGCACAAGAGTTGAAACTTGATAACTGAACTGGTTTTTATTTACTATGTCTGAAAATGTAGTTGGGTGATTTGGACTGAGAGTAATGAATTTACAAAAGTGAGCTTGGACAGAGGACAAGAGCTAGAGTTTTATAATTGTTTACTTCATATTTACTATGTCTGAAATACAGAGGGTCGGGGAAATTGAAAAATTTCGGGGAAATTGATGGTTTATTTACAAAGACTTGAGGGTGGAAGAGGGTGGGGGACGAGAGCTGGAGCTCAGTAACTGACTTGATTTTATTTACTAACTTTGAAGTATGTCTGCTTTTAATTTTAGGGAAATTGATGGGTTATTTACAAAGATACGAAGGAGAACTAAGGCGGGGACGAGAGCTGGAGCTTGGTAACTGTTTTGATCTTATTTACGGTGTCTGAAATACAGAGGGTGAAAATTTCAGGGAAATTGGACTGATACTAACGAAGATACGAGAGAGAGCTAAGGCGGAGGACAAGCGCTGGAGCTTGGTAACTGTTTTGATCTTATTTATGGTGCCTGAAATACAGAGGGTGAAAATTTCAGGGAAATTGGACTGATACTAACGAAGATACGAGAGAGAGCTAAGGCGGAGGACAAGCGCTGGAGCTTGGTAACTAAATTACTGTATTGAACTACGTTTGAAATATGATTATTTTTAAATTTTAGAGGGATTGGAATGATAGTATTCATTATACGACAGGGGACTAAGGTGGGGGAACGTGAGCTAGAACATGCTTACTAACATGATTTATTTGTGTAAAACTGACTTGCTTAATGAAAAGGAGAAAACATACGATGTTGGAAAATAGTTGAACTGAATGAAAGGAGAGAGAGAGAGAGAGGAGGGACGGTCGAGATATTATGGAGAAGATAAGATAAGATATGATAAGAGCCGACTGGCTGGCTGGCTGGGCGCAAAGTAAATAAAGGTGACGCGACAGATTGCGAGGTAAGGGGGGAGGGAGGGGGGTGTGAGGTACGAGACTTGAAAACCATGACTTACACAGGTGATTTTCTAAATTTATATGAATAACTAAGGCTTACATAGACGATTTTGTAAGTTGAAAACATGTAAAACATGTCCGTAGAGTTCTCCTGGAAGCCCTAAAGAGCTACACACGTTACTTGAATTTCTCCCATAAGGCCTTAACAAACTTCTATGTCTCGGAAATTATTTTTCTATAAGAATAAGACATTATTTTTCATTATAAGAATCCTTACTTCTAAAATCTGTGACTGAAAAAAAAATTTACCTGAAAACCCCGACACGCTACAGGGGAATATTGGAACCTGAAAAACCCCGACACGCTACAGGGGAATTTCTAAATTCACCTGAAAACCCTGACACGCTACAGGGGAATTTTCTCCCAGAAAAAAAAATTCCCCTGTGGCGTGTCAACCCTACTACTGACACCACCACCACGTAGAACAGCTGCAATCTCCCCTCACTCCTTCCCCCTTCACCTCACCTCAACAGCCCCTCACCTGGACATCCATGGGGCTGCGCCCGTGTAGGTGGTAGTAGAAGAGAAGCGCCTCCATGGAGAGGGCGAGGGCGGCGGAGACGAAGTCCATATCTGGCGGTAGAGGCATGCGGTAGTGGGTGAGGACATCCAGGACACCGTTCAGCCCGAAGAAGAAGAACATGGACATGTGCTGGGCGTTCCCGATGGCTTTAAACTGGCCCTCTTCGAACGCCGTCGCGAACTCACCTGTGTGTGCAACGATGTTAATCGAACTCACTTCGGAAGGAACACGATATTAGTTGAATTCATTTCAGAAGGAACTCGATATTAATCGAACTCACTTCGGAAGGAACCCGATATTAATCGAACTCACTTCGGAAGGAACCCGATATTAATCGAACTCACTTCGGAAGGAACACGATATTAATCGAACTCACTTCGGAAGGAACCCGATATTAATCGAACTCACTTCGGAAGGAACTCGATATTAATCGAACTCACTTCGGAAGGAACTCGATATTAATCGAACTCACTTCGGAAGGAACACAATATTAATCGAACTCACTTCGGAAGGAACACGATATTAATCGAACTCACTTCGGAAGGAACCCGATATTAATCGAACTCACTTCGGAAGGAACTCGATATTAATCGAACTCACTTCGGAAGGAACTCAATATTAATCGAACTCACTTCGGAAGGAACTCAATATTAATCGAACTCACTTCGGAAGGAACTCAATATTAATCGAACTCACTTCGGAAGGAACTCAATATTAATCGAACTCACTTCGGAAGGAACTCAATATTAATCGAACTCACTTCGGAAGGAACCCGATATTAATCGAACTCACTTCGGAAGGAACACGATATTAATCGAACTCACTTCGGAAGGAACTCGATATTAATCGAACTCACTTCGGAAGGAACTCGATATTAATCGAACTCACTTCGGAAGGAACACGATATTAGTCGAACTCACTTCGGAAGGAACTCAATATTAATCGAACTAACTTCGGAAGGAACTCAATATTAATCGAACTCACTTCGGAAGGAACTCAATATTAATCGAACTCACTTCGGAAGGAACTCAATATTAATCGAACTCACTTCGGAAGGAACTCAATATTAATCGAACTCACTTCGGAAGGAACCCGATATTAATCGAACTCACTTCGGAAGGAACTCAATATTAATCGAACTCACTTCGGAAGGAATGTTCCCACACTTTGGCGTGTAGAGACTACTGCATTTGCGTGTATGTTACAAAGTCAAGAGAGCACAGGTATGGATTGGAAAGGCAATCTATATTTAAATACACTTCGATAATGACGCAGTTGTTTCTTTGTTAGCGAGAGTCAACTTATGCAAAACACTGAAATGGCCTTTAGTATATGTAGCAATGACACATTATTGATTCAATTTTCTGCAACTGGAAGCTTCAAACCGGAGAGGATTAGCGATTGTGTCCTTAAAAGTTCACAAATCTCATTTCTGGAAGATTAAGCACTCTTAATTTATCACCAGTTCTTAGCCAGCAAAATTAAATAAAGGGTTTGACAAGCCACCCAACTGATCGGTAAGTTCGCGAACTTAAAAGTTCAAATTTAACCGTCACGTTCGAACTTACCCGTCATGCCTACGGCGGCAGCGGCGATCTTGAGTATGCCCTCGAGAGGAAGATGCGGGCAGCATCCACAGCGGAAGGATGCGGTGTTGCGGTAGCGAGCTCGGTGCTTGTCCCCCAGCACCGCCTCCGCCCGCAGACAGGTGAAGTAGCGAAGGTATACTCGGTAGGTGAACCAGGCGCCGAACAGCATGAAGAAGGTGCCGGGCACGAGGTGCCCTACCAGCGTGCCCATTCCTGCTCCGGGAGGAGAGATGAGAGAGAGTTGAATGATGTGGGTAAATAGGTGAATGGTGTGCTAACTGATTCACAGTTACCTGTGATGATGTGTGAGGTGGGGGGTGGACTGGGATGGGTTTTAACCTCAAGTGGATCGGTGGATTGCATCCACGGTTACAGCCCCGCTCCTGTGCCAGGTAAGTCTACTACGGGCTCGCCATAGCCCGTGCTACTTGGAACTTTTTGTTCCAAGTTGCGAATCTTAAACATCAACAACGGTGGATTGGAACATCAAAAGGATGTAGAATTTCTGTGTATATCTCTGTATATATACACAGAGAATATACGTTAGTCCTGGAGTATGTTTAGGACTAAAATATACTTTGCTAGTGGCACTGTCACTAAATGTAACCCTGTCCATGGAGGACAGAAGAAAATGTATATATGCTTATTAGCATTGTAAATGTGTGGCCACGTCTGTGGTAGAAAAAAAACTATATGAAAGTCTGTAACTTACATGACTGTAAGCTATTGTGGTGGCCTTAATAGGCCTACTGAGGTTGACTAGGCCTTAGGCCCAGCAGCAGGCGGCTATAATAAACAGCATTAGACGGGAAAAAACAAGAAATCGTGAGAAACAAAGTCATTGATTTAACTGACCATTAGATAAAAAACGGGGCCGGAGAGATAGAGCTTGACCCTGTGAGCACACCTAGATAAGTATATGTTGGTGAACATATTAAGATGAGTACACACGCATGCGCACACGCGCACACACACACACACACACACACACACACAAATGACAAATGATGTGGTGGAGGCTGACTCCATACACAGTTTCAAGTGTAGATATGACAGAGCCCGATAGGCTCAGGAATCTGTACACCTGTTGATTGACGGTTGAGAGGCGGGACCAAAGAGCCAGAGCTCAACCCCCGCAAACACAACTAGGTGAGTACACACACACACACACACACACACACACACACACACACACACACACACACACACACACACAGGGGTGTGGCTGGTCCGAGGGTGTGGCTGGAGACCATTAGTGACTTACAAATTTAAACGCTGAATTAAAGTTTTATCACAGTAAATCATGTTAATGAACGAGCGCGCGCACGCGTGTGTGTGTGTGTGTGTGTGTGTGTGTGTGTGTGTGTACATTTGTAACTAATAATCAATGAAAAATTAACAATGATAAGAATCATACTAGGAATTCAAAATGACGTTATATATTCGAAAATCAGTGGAGCAATCTGGGGATTCGAACCAGCGTACAGTCTGGGTCACCCCCAGTGGGTTAAGGCTTGCGACTGGGACGACCCCCAAAACGAAGGTTCGAATCCCCGGCTTGCTCCACTGATTTTGGCAATGATAACATTATTAGAGTTGTATAAAATAAAATTATATATATATACAAAATAATTGCAAATATCATTTTTTTTAAATACAGTAAGATTCAGATTTTAATTATCCCTGAAAATTTGTAGGGGAAGGGAGGGAATTATCAAGGGGAAAGTGCCAAGCCATTACGACTATATTGCACTTGGAAAGGGTCAGGATAAGGATGTGGGATGGGACGGGGGTAAAAAGAATGGTGCCCAACCACTTGGACGGTCGGGGATTGAACCCCGACCTGCATGAAGCTAGACCGTCGCTCTACCGTCCAGCCCAAGTGGATGGGGATAAATGTAGAATACTTTCTACTACGCTGTTTTGTGTGCTTCTTCAAGATGTCTTAGGTATGTTGAAATTAATCTTGAGGAAGAGCCAAGCCAGAATGACTAGTTAGCCCAGGGAAGGAATACTAGGACAAGGAGCTGGGATACGCTGGAAGGGGAAGTTATGGAACGGTGCCCAATCACTGCAAACATCAAGATCGAGACGCTCTGGTGAAAGTGGTTGGGCACTGTTCCTTCACCAGCCCTCGTATCATGTTCTCTGGGAGCAAACAGTATTATATACAGATGATAACAAGCTAAAGTTTAAGGAAACATCACATCATCAAAGATTATCCATCACATCATCAAAAATTATTCCTGCTTTTATTAGCCTGAACAATCTTTGATGATGTCAATATTTTGATGAAGGAGAATATCTTGATAGATTTTCTTTTTAATTTTGGAATGATCAACGCAATTTTGACCATATATTACAGAGGGAAATATCAGTCAAGTCAGAACGCAATAACAAGATTCGTTGTGTGGGGGGTCACTTTGGTACTGTCACGTGGTTCTCGTTTCATTCATGCCAACTTGAACCCGTTCATGTTTTGTACATACCCAAAAGCAATTACTGTGAGCAGTTGGGCGAGACTAGCCCCCCAAACGTCTGGTCTCCACCCTCGAACATTCTAATTTACAGATATTTCACCCCAAAATATACCTTTGACAACATTTCGAAGGAGAATTGTGAATACTTTGTTCCTTAAGCCAAGTTGGACCTACCTGCTTGTGAGGAAGGAGGAGTGAGGGTAGTGAGGGAGAGACAAGGAGGGATGGAGGCCACTGCTCACTGCTACTCGAGGTCGACCATACTCGAGCATCAAGGTGGAGTCTGAGGGAGAAGGGAGAAGATGAGTCTATAACAGCATCGTTCTGATGATCGGACAAAGCGTCAAGTTTGAAGTGGTTTCTCCACCACCAGAAGCGTACAAAAGTGGGCAAGGCACCAATCAAGGCTGATATTCATTCACCCGAGGATGCCACAATATTTCGATGCTCTCAATGTCACTTAAACGCCGGGAGTTTTAACGCAATTAGCGTCAACAATTGCCGGGCATTAAGCTAACCAGTAAAAAATAGAACTTACAAAACCCCCCCTCAAACCCATACTGAAACTTACATGTAACTTTCATGTAATTTACGGCCCTAAGACAGTTGTTGGACTATTTAACTTCCGGGCTTGTTAAGGAGGAGGAAGCATCAACTAAGAATGATTGTAAGAGTGTACCCTCTTCCCCCCACCCCACGGTCATGACCTTATGCTCCACACCATCAATAGAATCCATAGCCTGGCCAAAATCAATACTCGTCTAGGGTTATCTTGAGATTCTTGAGGGTATCTTGAGATGATTTCGGGGCTTTAGTGTCCCCGCGGCCCGGTCCTCGACTAGGCCTCCACCCCCAGGAAGCAGCCCGTGACAGCTGACTAACACCCAGGTACCTATTTTACTGCTAGGTAACAGAGCAAGTAAAAGCCTAGCAAAAATACTCCACTTTACCGGGGCATATAACATAGGTCACCGTAAAGCAATAACAAAATAAAGTTTTCTACAACTCATACTCTATCACAATAATCCAACTTTTCTTAAGCTCTTCGAGATCATCATCAGGCATTAAGCCTCACACCCTCGGGGCTACCTGACACCGGGCTCTATCCTGGCACAGTGGTACACCAGCCCCTAGCAGGCTTTAAACATAAGTATAGGATGGTGGTATATGATATATAGGATGATGGAAGAACCACTCCCTTGATAGGGTGGTTCTCCGTCCCGACCACGGCGGTCTCCGGGTTTGAAGTCCCTGTGCCTTTTTTCGCCAACTTCGAAATCAACTCCGGAACTCACAGTTCCTGCTACGGCGTTTGAACCAATCGTATTAGCGTTTGCCTTTCTATTGGAGACCTTCGGCGCCGTGGAGAGAGAGGGGGAGGAATCAGCTGCATGGGTAACAGCTTCTCCTCCGTATCAACCTACCCAGGCTTTGCGCCCTGGAGAGGCCACTTCAGACCGACAACCAGAGCGCAACTCCATAGTTTCCTGAGACTGATGTATGCCTACTAGTAGTCAGTAAATACAAAATGCCACTCCGATCAAGAGCCGGATGTCACACGTCCGCTCCGCTGAGAAACCAAGGAACTAGTGAGGCCTCAGAGCCGGGCGGGCCGCCAGACACATCATTTCCAACTCAGCAAGTCAACCGACGCTTATCCTTCACATATCACAAGCTTATATCAAACCATTTACCAATAAGTAACTCCTAAATCATACAATAACTGAGTATTATAATATAAAACCTTACATGAGAATACAATCACTGAATAGTATATATAGAGAACATAAGAGAATATACCATGATATATAAAAATAATCAAAAGAGAATTCATATCTACAAGACATGGTAACACTGGCGGAGACTGTAAGCCAAGAAGGAGGAGGGGTTTTAGGGAGGATTTCAAGACGTTATCGGTCAGCCGTTAATACATAATAATACATGAATAAAAGTAAAACATCATATTACCAACATAATTACCAAAACCTTGCCACTGTGGTATACATCTCACAGTACCAGAATATCAGTTATCAACATGACAAAAGGGCAATGCAAGAACAGTAATGAAATTGGTATATCACAGTATACATGCTAGTCTTACATCAGGTACATAAAAGTATACATTCTGCATCGTAATACATATAGCATGTCATGTACAACAATACATAGAATTTCATACTTTAGGGACATAATGGTATTTTTGCAAGATTACAGGATATTAGGCTTCTGCTATTTATTCTGCTTCCAATATCTCCACAATTACATGACAAATACTTTTGGTAATGATACAAAATATGTATAGGTATATTAAACATACAGCGGCAATATATAATATATAATAGAGTATTGTCAACAAGAGATTATATTGTGACGGTAACGCGTTGGTGTTCGGATGTTCAAAAGCTAGGGGTATGGCCTCGTCACATATAGAAAAAAAAATAGAAAATCTGGAACTTCGTCTGTGGTAAGGTAAGGAGAAGACACACAAAACACAAGTAAATTTTAACAATGAAATTTTAATTACGTTAAAGAAAGCAAAACATGAATAAAATGGACATACAAATTCGTATAATAAAATCAATCAATCAAAGTAATAAGAATAATCAAATGGCAAAATGAAAAGTTACGTTAAGACAAGTGAGCAAATAACCAGTGTATGACAAACAAAGTAAATAGGTGCAGGAATATTGGCTTCAAGCTGCCACCTCTCTTAGTACACGTAAGCCTGGGGCTTAGTCTACCAACGAGACGTGTTAACTTGTCGAAAGCACGGGATATTCTGAGGACTGAGGTCGTGGCGGCCCCAGACATCAAGTAGTATGGTGGGTGGAGTGCAGTTGCAGCTGGACCCGCAGCCAATCAGCGATGAGCAGGCGACAAGACAGGTAGTTTGGCGGTTCGAGGTGGAGCAGGTGTTCCTGGCTGCATACGTTTTGCTCTCTGGCAAACCTTGGAGATGTTGTTGTCGTTGTTGGATATTTCTTCCATAGTAGTTGTATATAGATTTGTAGCGACGTATTTTGGAGGGAAGAGCAGGCTCAATCTCTTGAAGGAGATTATCGTCACAATATAGATACAATAATATTTGTGATACTAGGCTAATCGACCTGGATATCACTATACAGTACGAACTCAGCATACACCAGCCACAGTATGATCATACTGGTGTATGTGTGGTCATAACATCCCTTCATCGCAAGAAATGGGTACAATGTGGGACACAGTATACACATTCTTACTGACTTGGACCGCAAAATAATATCATGAATCATATTTACATTCACAATAACTACTTAACATGAGGTGCACAACATTCAGTGCAAGCACAAACTACAGCATCAATAATACAGTATATAATACAACATCAAGTTAAAGCAAATTACAAGTATATAAGTTATTTTAATCAGGAAGTTTTAGGGTGGTTCTTCAAACTCAGGTTTTTCTCAGGAAAAATTTATGTGCCAGGAATATGATGTATGTGAAGATTAAATTCCTTTAAGTACAATGACCACCTCAAAATTTACTGATTATGAATTTTCATTCTGCCAATGAATATTAACGGGTTATGATCAGTATACACATCAACCTTATTCCATTGGAGATATACCTCAAACTTCTGGGGGGGGTAGAAATAGCCTAAGCTACTCTATCCGTTTGAGATGTATGTTTTTCTTGTCTTAATAAACATACTTGAACTTGAAATCAAACTTCTTGCATGCCAACACAAGAGCATAAGCCTCCTTATCAACAGAGTAATTCTTCTGTGCACTAGTGAACTTTCTAGAAAAATAGTATACAGGATACTCAACATTATCACATCCACCTTGGAGTAGGACAGCACCTGCACCCAGATCAGAAGCATCTATATACATTACAAAAGGTATATAGATGGTATAGGTATATATTAAAATCAGGACTAGCGAGGACTGGGGATGAAGATAAGATACTTTTTAAACCGTCAAAGGCTTCTTGACACTGGGTAGTCCACTTAAATCTAACTCTCTGCTGCTACATATCAGAGGTGAAGCTACCAGAGAAATGTTTTACAGTAGCTACGGTAATAGGCACTCATCCCTAAAAATCGCTGAAGCTGTTTCTTGTTAGTCAAGATAGGATAATTAACAATGGCATTAATTTTATCTTGTAAAGGCATCACCCTACCTTGACCAACCTCGTGCCCTAGATAGTTGTACCTCTGGCAAAGTTACATTTCTGAGGGTTGACAGTAAGATTGGCCTCCTGCAACTTGGCAAACCACAATTTTAAACCTTGTAAATGGCTTTGTCAGGAATCACTAAACAAAACAATGTCATCTAAATAAGCACGGCAATTGGGAATATCCTGCAACAGCAAATTCATCAACCTCTGGAAAGTTGCTGGGGCTTAACACCAAAAGGAATAACGTTATACTGGAAATATCCATCAGGTGTTATAAAAGTTGAAACTTTACTAGCTCGACTTGTCAAGAGCACTTGATGATAACCTTTTGACAAATCGAGTTACGATATAAATTGACAGTGATCAATCTGGTCAATACAGTCCTCAAGCAATGGTAATGGGAATGTATCTACTGCAGTTACCTTACTCAATCGCCTGTAGTCAGTACACAGGCGCCACTTCCCATCCGGTTTAGGAACTAGTAAGCAAAGCGAACACCAGGAACTTTGACTGGGCTTAACTAGACTATGATCAAGGAGGAACTCCACTTCCCCTCCTGATAATATCCCTCTTTATCCGGTGATAATCTATACGGATGCATGCGAATAGTGGTGGTGTCTGTGAGCTGAATATCATGGCTAATGACGTGGGTCTGGGTAGGCACTTCTCCGAACAGATTTTCATACTTGGCAAGTAAGGTTCTCAACTCTCCCTGTCTCTCCTCATCCAAGTGTCCTAACATCTCCTCAAACCTTGAACGACAAACGGTAGGACTAGACAAGTCTACATATATGGTTCTCAGGGGTGACTGTGTCCTTTACCACACATGACACTGGCCTGGGAGCCCTGAAATGCTTTCAACCTGTTAATGTGCACTACTAAAACTTTGGAAGCGTCCTGCAGACTTTTGACTTTATAATTAAACTCAGAACGTCTGCAAATAACTTCAAAAGGACCTTCAAAATGATGATCTAAAGCAGCCTCCACTCTGATTTTCAAAACAAGATCACCAGGCTGGAAACATCTCAACTTCACCCTGAACTTCTTGCCATGGTGTTGTTTCATCTTAAACTGCGACTTCTTCAGATGCTCACTCGCCACGTCTTGGTACTTCTTCAACTTGGACCGGATCTCACTCAACAGCCAACTTCCATCAGGGAGAGAAACGTTTCCCATCATCCTCTCCCGCAGCAACTGAATTGCGCCTCAGAATGGATGTCCGAAAACTAATTGGAAATTCACCCCAACGAATGCTGGAACCCATTACGAGCTACATGGCATATACTTTTGATAATACATAATATGTATATGTATATTAAACATACAACGGCAATACGTAATATATACTATTGTCAACAAGAGATTATATAGATACAATAATATTTGTGATACTAGGCTAATCGACCTGGATATCACTATCCAGTATGAACGCAGCATACACCAGCCACAGTATGATCATACTGTTTTTTTTTTTTTATTATTATTATTTTCTACCACAGACGTGGCCACACATTTACAATGCTAACCAGCATATATACATTTTCTTCTGTCCTCCATGGACAGGGTTAGAGAAATGTTAAACATAGAGTTCAAGGGTTTATTGAACACTCAACCACAGAAGGTGATTCGGTGCTTTTAAAATGCTAAGCTAACACATACTGGTATATGTGTGGTCATAGCACACACCCCTACCCCTCCTGTATGGCCCTAATAGGGAGGCCTGGCCTACAGTTACTTCCAACCCCCAACCCCCAAATATGTGTTAAGTAATGATGGGAAAGGCTGGCAGGAGACCTAGAGGAGACCAGGAGACCAACAGGAGACCAGGAGACCAACAGGAGACCAACAGGAAGCCACACAATACCTGGAAAACCACTCCGATAGACAGGAAGAACAAAAAAAGACTCACGTGGATATAATCTCATCGCCAACACACACAAACTTGATAACATCAGCAGCGTGAGAAAGCTACCATAAGAACGGAATTTTAAGATGTTTAAACACTATCTCAAGACACTCTACATACAGCCTGTGTTAGTCTGGTGCTCGAATACGAGGCACAGGCCTGGAATCCAAACCTTGTGGATAGAAAATAAACTTGAGATCGTTCCTAAGGTGTCGACCGGAATTAAAAGTACTGAGCTATGAGGACACGTTTAAGTTAACTCAGTTTCATAGTCCTTAGAGGGGGGAGAGAAACAGCAGAGTAGATATGATCACTGCATACAAAATACTTAGAGGAATAGACAAGTTGGACAAAGACAACCACTTTCAACTGTGAGAAAAGTACATCAAGAGGACATAGATAGCCCGTTCTTTGGACTTGCCGCTACGTAACAAATGCAACTGTTCAGCCAAAGCCGAAATGTACAAACCCAAGCAACCCGCCAAACATATCGATCCCGTTGCACAGAAAACGTTGATATTACGGTGTTTTAAAATCTTTACTAATGCGTCACATTTTTAGAGGAGAAATCGATTAATCGAAATCGAGAAATCGATTTCTTAAACGTGACGTCAGTGACGTCACACACCTTGTACATATATACAGAATATGTATACAGTATATGAATATGTATATGCAAAATATATATATATATATATATATATATATATATATATATATATATATATATATATATATATATATATATATATATAACTTTGTTTACATCTCTAACTTAGGTTAGGATAGGGTTTGGTCGGGTTTACTCAAAGAATAACGTAGGAATATACTTATAATAATATATACTCATAAGAATAACAAAAAGAATTTACGTAGAAGGAGACGTGAACAAATGACCTCAGGTCTTTAACCCTACACCCGCTCACCCAGGCCATTGAAGAAGTGCGTCCTGGCCCCGTGCGCCAGAAAGCTGTTTGCTGGCTTCATGTGCGCCACATGGAGTTCGCGGCGGCCCGCTAGAGGACTAGGCTACGAGCTCTCAAACACTCTCTGCTGCCGTGTGTAAAGTCCACACGAGTATAACTTTGTGTTTGTGTGTGTGTGTGTGTGTGTGCTGGGGAAGAGATTATACACTAGGGAGGATGGTGTATTTTTGGAGAGAATGCACTTGGTGGAGAGGCGATATACAGCGTAGCCTAATGCTGGTTGATAATGAGTTCAGTTGGTAAATTGACTTTATAGAGAGAATACACTTTGGAGAGAGAGTACACTGGTATGAATACACTTTGGAGAGAGAGTACACTGGTATGAATACACTTTGGAGAGATATACACTAGCATGAATGCACTTTAGAGAGAGGGATTACACCACGCGTTCACAAGTGAAAGAACGCTTACGGCGAGTTCACAGTACACAGGACAGGAACGGAACACTGAGCATTCTGCCAAGTGCCTCCAGAGAGACCCCTCTCTCTCTCTCTCTCTCTCTCCCTCCATTATTTAAACACGTGACATTTGCCTCCATTTGTGATGTTTTGGGAAGAGAGGGATGGCCTGTAGTGACGTCATGACATCCTAAGTCTCTCAATGGACAGCCCACGTATTATTTCCGTGACGTCATGGAGTCCTAGATCTCTCATTGGCCAGTCAAAGTGTTTATTTCCGCGGTTATAATTATAACAAAATAATCGTAATTCGTTTTACGATATGTCGTTTAGGAGTATATACATGAATTATAGCAAACATATATATATATATATATATATATATATATATATATATATATATATATATATATATATATATATATACTCGTCCAGGATTCGAACCTAGTCCGCCGGAGAATCATAAACCTGGCAGTCCAGCACTATAACCACTCGTACGCTTCCACCCGGGTTACCAACCATCCCCCGGCAACCCTCGTGGCGCACACTGGCCACAGACCCAGTCCTAGAACATGCCAGGGGGGTCGATCTGAGTATCAAGTGTTGTGGGAAGCTTGAAATGGTCTTGAAGCTTATCTACTGAGACCAGCTATGACCAGCTGGACAGATGAGGTGGGCAGATTTGTAGGCCTCCGGGAGGTGTGTAATATTTTCGCGTGGTCATGGGGTACGGACGGAAGAGGGGAATGGTAAAGAAAGTTTGTTTATGAATAATTGAGGTCGATTGGCAGGGGAGAATCGATCGATATGCCGACACTCTTTGGCCACGTGTCGAGTGTCGAGTGTGGCCACCCCTCGCTGGCCACACACACACACACACACACACACACACACACACACACACACACATATATATATATATATATATATATATATATATATATATATATATATATATATATATATATATATATATATATATATATAATTATACCTTTTTAAAGCAATTTGTGGTGGGGTGGTTCATTTATTGCTCTCTCATTTAGGCCCTCGTCAGTAAGGACGACCCGAGTTCGAGTCCTACGGCGGGAGGGACTGTTGGGGTACCAATCTGTTTTAGCCCCCGTTTGCCCAACAGTTACTGGGCACCTGGGTGTAAAACGGTTTGCGAGATGGTGTTCCAGGGGCAACAACATGCTGCCACTGTGCAGACCTCGACCGGTTCCAGTACTCGGTTTAAGACCTTTATTCCACTATAATAATAATGATAATAAAAATAATAATTATTTGATCGTGGTGATGCTTGATCATGGTAGTAGTGGGGGTGATGGTGGTCTGAATGGTGGTAGTGGGGGTGATGGTGGTCTGAATGGTGGTAATGGGGGTGATGGTCGTCTGAATGGTGGTAGTGGGGGTGATGGTGGTCTGAATGGTGGTAGTGGGGGTCTGAATAGTGGTAGATGTTGTGAAGGAAGCTCAGGATATATGCTCTCTGTCAGCATATACTTCCGACAGTCAATTACATACCGTGAGAAAGGTCACGCTCTGAATTACACTTTTCTTTGTTCAGTAAACTCTTGACTCTTCCCTATTTTGTTTAGTGGGGGAGGCTCCTTGCTCCTTGTATAGTAGGCTGCAGGACCCCCTTTCTTTTTTGTTTTGTGAACTCGATTGTTTATTTTGAATAATTGTCCTGTTTTGTCTCTTGCTTAACTGTCCCGTGACCTTTCCCAAGGCACCAAAGGCCCCAATATGACCCATCACCAAGGCAACGAAATGCCATTTTCCGTACTCATAAGAACAGCTGCTGGCGAAAACTTTTACCAAGAGGATAAAATTGCTACAAAGGAAGGACATTTACTTTTAAATTATCTACATTATCCCTCACACAAAAACATTTATCACAGACATCACTCACTTCGTGGTCCATTGTGCTGTTCCTTCTCTGCTTCATGTAATACGTTATAATTCCTGTTCCTTCTATGCTTGATGCAATACGTTATAATTCCTGTTCCTTCTATGCTTGATGCAATACGTTATAATTCATGTTCCTGCTATGCTTGATGTAATACGTTATAATTCCGGTTGATACATTGTATTCAACGACATTTTACCGTTAGTTGACCGGTTACATGGCGGGAAAATGCAGGTTATTTCGCCGGTTAATAATGCCGGTGTTTGATCAATAGTTTTTATTTTGTTATTTTCATTTGTTATTTATTTGTGTTATTTTCGTGTTCGGGAGTTCTTGCCCTTCACTCTGTTATTGTAGAGAGTTTGAATAAGGCGCCCAGCTGGTATCTGTAAGGGTTACCCATGAGATCTTTCTACCTAACAGAAAATGGGTATTTTCTATTTCATTTTTGGAAAAGCTTGCAACATAGTCTTTTATAATTTGTCAACATTTTCTGAGTGAAAAGATGGTGCTGAATGGAACATTAATGTCACGTACGTCGATGTGATATATAAAGTTAATGGGCTTAAGGGTCATTAACACTTCATAAGACATAAATAAGCCATTCAGAAAGGGACTTTTCTTTAAGGGATTTAAGCCAATCAGAAAGGAGCGCTTGAATGTAAAAAGGTATCCTATAGATCCAATTGGTTCCAAATAGTTCACTTCATGCCCGATTAGTGTACGAAACGCTTTAGTCGCTACTTAACGAAAATTACAAACATGTTATGGAAGGGAACTATCAGGGGGAAAGCGCCAAGTCATTATGACTATATAGCACTGGGAAGGGGTCAGGATAAGGATTTGGGATGGGACGGGGGGGATGGAATGGTGCCCATCCCCCTGGACCGTCGGGGAATTAAACGCCGACCTACATGAAGCGAAACCGTCGCTCTACCGTCCAGCCCAAGTGGTTGGACACATGGAAATGTAATAATGTTCTGATTAAGGCGTTTCAAAAGGCCTATACATTTTGGGGAAAATAGTTCACCCAAATTTGGGAAAATAGTGAAAGAGTCTGCCACTTGTTGGAGTGAAATCGTGGCTAACCGTATGAACAGACGTAGTTACTGTACAACCCGTCCTCTTAATAATGTACATTTGTAACGTAAAAAATAAAACAAAAACGCGACCTATTAGTTTACAACAGTAACACCTCACAAATATTCACGTTTTCTGTGTATTGGACCCGAGAGTTTAGGTTGGTTGCTTGAATGTTTCAAGTGAGGCTAAAAGTTAGGTTGGATTAATTTGTTGCGGAGAGGCAAATCTAGAGAACGAACAGGTGTACCAGGAGCTGTAGCTCAACCGCTGACAAGTGTTGAGGCAGAAATAAACGAAGGTGATCATGTATCCAACACAAATGACATTTGAAACCACAAAACGTGACGTCTGGACTCAATAAAGTCTTTCTGGCAAACTAAAATATTTTGGAGTCGTGACAAGTCGCTAGTGGATTCATATATTCCCCAAAACAGCGACTTTTTTGTTGTAATTTGGCAAACATTTAAGAGAAGAGGAAGGGGGGGGAGGGGAACGTGGTTGACGTTTGTGTTACCATTGCGACAGGAGGCGGCAGAACAGGTTCGAAACCCGTACTAGCCTGAATTTTATGATGTCATAGTGACGTCACGCCTCGCGCACCACAGATATAAACCACGAAATTGTTTCTCGTACTTGTGTTAAATTAGGTTAGGTTAGACTACGTTAGGTTAGGATTGGCTGGCTTAGGTTAGGATGAGTTGGATTAGGTTGGATTAGGCTTTCTATAGTGATGACATCGAAGAGTACATATTTCCTCGAGTCTAAGACCCTCCTCGCAGGATTGTTGTTGTTATAGATTCAGCTACTCGGAACAAGTTCCAAGTAGCACGGGCTATGGTGAGCCCGTAGTGGACTTACCTGGCACAGGAGCGGGGCACGTATGTGTCCTCGCAGGAGGAAAACAGCTTGAATTGCATAGTGAACTCCACATATTTATGACTTAACTACCTTTTATGGAAACCTTATAAAACAGTGGTCTTTTTAACGTAATAATACGTCATAGTACATCATTCTTTTACGGATTTGATGTATCTTATTATTTTTAATCTTAATTTTGACACCCTACCCCCCCCCCCCCCAAAAAAAAAAAATTAATCTTATAACATTCTTATTGTGCTAAATGAGTTCGCTTGGAATCCACTAATCCAGCTCATTAATAAGTGTCCGTTGACGGATTGGAAATATATGGTGGATCAGTGATCGGTGGATTGGTTGACCTGTTGGATGGGTTGTCGGTGGATACGTTGAATCATCGGATGAATTAGCGGTGGACAGATGAATGGTTAAAAAAAAAACTAGTAGAATTTCGGGTAATAGACAGGATGAGCTGGATATTTGACGATTAATGATTGATGAAGACACCCAAGAGATTACACGGGCATGAATAACCCCCGTAAAAAAATATTACATGGCTTTAGATGAATTTGGATGATGGATTATATCCTCCAGTACACACCCAGGGATTCGAACGGGTGGGGGTGGGCGGCCTGTGCCATGGACGGGGAGTGACAGATGGGGCGGAGAGACGGGTGTATTTGAACAGACAGAAACATTGCTCCCGTATCGACCTCCGCGCGCCCTCAGAGGGTAAACTCCTCAATGCAATTTAGTCTGCATGGTGAGAGGGGTGAGGTAGGGAGGTGTAGGGGAAGAATAGGGGGGGAGAGGGGAGGGTAAATGGGGGTAAGATCGTCACGCGCACTTACCTACCGCCCTCCCCTACCCACCCTTTCCCTTCACCTGATGGGGGGGGGGGGGAAGGAGGAGAGAAGCCTTGAGCAGGTCAAGGAGCGTCCTGCCTATTCGTTAACTCTAAGATATATATAGATATAGATATATATTTTGCTAACCACACCGTGGATATATAACATTTCAATCCCCCCCCCTTACCCCCCTACCCCCCCCCTACGCCTCCTACTCGTCCCATCCCAAATCCTTATCCTGACCCGTTCCAAGTGCTATATGTCTTGGCGCTTTCCCCCCCTGATAGTTTCCTTCCTTCCTTGGCTCGGACAATTGGAGCCTCGAACCGTCGACCACATAGCTAGCAGCTCTACCTACTGAGTCCACAA